GTGCAATGGCGCGATCTCGGCTCACCGCAACCTCCGCCTCCTGGGTTCAGGCAATTCTCCTGCCTCAACCTCCTCAGTAGCTGGGATTACAGGCACGCGCCACCATGCCAGCTAATGTTTTGTATTTTTAGTAGAGACGGGGTTTCACCACGTTGACCAGGATGGTCTCAATCTCTTGACCTCGTGATCCACCCGCCTCGGCCTCCCAAAGTGCTGGGATTACAGGCTTGAGCCACCGCGCCCGGCCTTCAGTCTTATATTTAACAGTATTAATGTGTTATAAGATGATGTGTGCATTACATTGATTTTTGACAGAGTAGTTTGAGCTTAGTTGAGTGAAAATATGTTTAACATGGTCAAGAAATAAGTAAACTTAATTGAACAGTAACTCAAGGTATTTGTTGTTACTGTTTTGTGAATATCTTCTTAGGAACTTTTTGTGTGACCAGAAATTATTTATTAGTAACTCTCAAGATCATTTTGTCTAAGTGAATTAGAGATCTTATAATTTAAAGTGATCCCTAAATAGCAATATAATTACTGTTGATTTTTAAAATTGATAGACATTTAAAATTTTTAAATAAGGTAAATGTATAGATTCACATAATTGCAGCATTGTTTGAAGTTATAAAAATCAATCCTTTTATAAAAATTCTAAGTAAAGGTACAATTTAAATTTAATTGAACATATATTTTTATAATTGTGAACTTTATGAAAGCAATGTTTGCTTTTGCTCAGGGGTTGGAAAACTATGGCTCTGGAGACCATACCCACCTGTTTTTGTAAATAAAGTTGTATTGGAACATAGTCTTGCCCATTCGTTTATATGTTTACATATTGCCCATGGCTGCTTTGATAAAATGGCAGAGTTGTGACCATAAGGCCCTTTACAGAAAAAGTTTGCCAAACTCTAGCTTTTCTGATGAGTACAGTGGGTATAGAAAACATAGATGTTTCAGAATAATTTGACTTTCTGAAGTAAAGTAAACCTAAGTTTTGCATAAACTAGAATATTTTGTTAACATGGTTTTTATATTGTGATAAAATCAGGAAGAAGAGTCCAGGCACAGTGGCTCACACTTGTAATCCCAGCACTTTGGGAGGCAGAGGTGGGCAAATCATCTGAGCTCAGGAGTTTAAGACTAGCCTGGCCAACATGGTGAAACTCTGTTTCTAATAAAAATACAAAAGTTAGTCAGGCATGGTGACATGTGCCTGTAATCCCAGCTAGTCAGGAGACTGAGGCAGGAGAATTGCTTGAACCTGGGAAGCGGAGATTACAGTGAGCTGAGGTCACACCACTGCACTCCAGCCTGTGTGACAGAGCGAGATTCTGTCTCAAAAAACAATAATAATAATCCAGAAGAAGACATTATCATACTTGATTAATAACAGGATTTATCTTCAGTAGATTATATTACTTGAATTCTCACTATATTTATATATCACATAAGCTTCTTAAGTTATTTTAAAAACATTGAAAATCCAGTATCAGTGTTTTGCTTCTTATCTTGTAATATAGTACACAGAGCCATTATTTTAACTGGGAGTTAAATTTCTTTTCCTTTGAGCTATAGCTTAACAAGCATTTGCAGATTTTCTTAAAGAGCCACAACATTTGAAGCAGTGGGAGTCTAGTTTTTCTCTCATGTTGAAAATTGTTAAATTCTGGTTTTTAAAATTTATGCAAGCACTTGTTCATCTTTAAAACTTATCGGCATAGAGCTTACTTAGATTTTTAAAAATCTCATTTACTAATTCTTTCTGTTTTGGAACTCTTTAGGTTGTGAAAACTTGTTAAAATTTAAAGTCTGTCAAATGGCCACTGTAGCTCTAAATTATCCGAAATGGAAGACTGACACTTTCCTAGATAAGCCTAGGAATTAGGATAATAAGTATAAATATAAGAGGCTGAATTCCCTAAAGAGGAAATTGTTAATTGCTTCATGCTTACAGATCTTTTATTTCAAGCAAAGCATATAAAGCAAACATGCAGACAACTTGGGCCACAAAAATAAAGAAATAAATAAAGGAAAGAGGAAAAAAGGAAAAGAAGAAAGAGAGGAGGAGGTAGGAGAAGAGAGAGAGGAAAAAAAAAAAGTAATGAAGAACACTTTGCCAACTACGTAGTCAAGGTCATCTGGTAATTACTAGTTTGTGATTTTGCTGTGGAGTAAGGCATGGCTCACACCATGAGTTACCTGTAGAATCCATTACACAAAAAGGCCAGGCTCAGTGGCTCATGCTTGTAATCCTTTCACTTTGAGGAGGCCAAGGTGGGCAGATCACTTGAGCCCAGGGGTTTTAAGACCAACCTGGGCATATGGTCAAACCCTGTGCCTAAAAAAATATAAAAACTAGCCAGGCGTGGTGGTGGGTGCCTGTAGTCTCAGCTACTTGGGAGGCTGGAGGATCACCTGAGCCTCAGAGATTGAGGCTGCAGTGAGCCATGATTGTGCCACTGCACTCTAGCATGGGTGACAGAATGAGAATCTTTCCCAAAAAAACAACAAAATAAAACAAAACAAATTTATTACAAAAACAGATACACAAACCACCGTCAGTGATATGGACAAGTATAAAGTACAGAAAGTGATGCAAGGATTTCCTGATAAATCAGCTATATGGGGCTATATAGAGTGTACATAAGTCAATTAGAAAGTGGAGATTATGTCTTATCTCCCAATAAATCACATATAGATAACCAAACAGATAACATATCAAAGTTGGAAGTTCACAAACAAATGCTGGCGTTACATTCAAGTCTTCCAGTAGAATTTTGGCTAGAGGTAAAGAAAAGCCACATGTTACAGAAAATCTAGAAAGGTGAGGTTAGACAAAACAAAATCAGCCAAAGCTCATTATGATAAGAATTTGATTCCCATTAAGATACATACCTAGCAGGGGACATTGGATGACCACAACTGGGCACATAAGGGCTTGATTGATGGAAGCTGACATTTGGTTTGAGGGAACATCAGCATGGGAAAATGGGGGATTTGTTGAAGTGATCTCTCTGGAATCCTCCAGAAAACTAAAAATCAGAACATCAAGATCACAAGAGCTGTAAAATCAATGCTCAGGAGTGAGATCAGTAAGTCTCCTAATTTGTCTTTTATTTCTGCTGTAGTTTTTTTTTTTTTTTGCTAGTGAAGGAAATAAAATGTGTGGTTTTCTTGTTTTCTTTCAGATTTGGAGTCAACAACATATGACACCAAAAAAATATTTTCAGAAAAGGATATTTTTGAAATAAATTTTTCTCAATGGGAGATGAAGGAAAAAAGTAAAACCCCTGGCCTTGAGGCATCCATTTTCAGAAATAATTGGAAGTGCAAAAGCTTATTTGAGGGACTAAAAGGACATCAAGAGGGATACTTCAGCCAAATGATAATCAGCTATGAAAAATTACCCTCTTACAGAAAAAGTGAATCTCTTACACCACATCAAATAATTTGTAATACAGAGAAGCCCTATGTTTGTAAGGAATGTGGGAAGGCTTGCAGTCATGGCTCAAAACTTGTTCAACATGAGAGAACTCATACAGCTGAAAAACATTTTGAGTGTAAAGAATGTGGGAAGAACTATTTAAGTGCCTATCAACTCAATGTGCATCAGAGATTTCATACTGGCGAGAAACCCTATGAGTGTAAGGAATGTGGGAAGACCTTTAGTTGGGGATCAAGCCTTGTTAAACACGAGAGAATCCATACCGGTGAGAAACCGTATGAATGTAAAGAATGTGGGAAGGCCTTTAGTCGTGGCTATCACCTTACTCAACATCAGAAAATTCATATTGGTGTGAAATCTTACAAATGTAAGGAATGTGGGAAGGCCTTTTTCTGGGGCTCAAGCCTTGCTAAACATGAGATAATTCATACAGGTGAGAAACCTTATAAATGTAAAGAATGTGGGAAAGCCTTCAGTCGTGGCTATCAACTTACTCAGCATCAGAAAATCCATACTGGTAAGAAACCTTATGAATGTAAAATATGTGGAAAGGCTTTTTGTTGGGGCTATCAACTTACTCGGCATCAGATATTTCATACTGGTGAGAAACCCTATGAATGTAAGGAATGTGGGAAGGCCTTTAATTGCGGATCAAGTCTTATTCAACATGAAAGAATTCATACTGGTGAGAAACCTTATGAATGTAAAGAATGTGGAAAGGCCTTTAGTCGTGGCTATCACCTTTCTCAACATCAGAAAATCCATACTGGTGAGAAACCTTTTGAATGTAAGGAATGTGGGAAGGCCTTTAGTTGGGGTTCAAGTCTTGTTAAACATGAGAGAGTTCACACTGGTGAGAAATCCCATGAATGTATAGAATGTGGAAAGACCTTTTGTAGTGGGTATCAACTTACTCGACATCAGGTATTTCATACTGGTGAGAAACCCTATCAATGTAAGGAATGTGGGAAGGCTTTTAATTGTGGATCAAGCCTTGTTCAGCATGAGAGAATCCATACAGGGGAGAAACCTTATGAATGTAAAGAATGTGGGAAGGCTTTTAGTCGTGGCTATCACCTTACTCAACATCAGAAAATTCATACCGGTGAGAAACCTTTTAAATGTAAGGAATGTGGGAAGGCCTTCAGTTGGGGTTCAAGCCTAGTTAAGCATGAGAGAGTCCATACTAATGAGAAGTCTTATGAATGTAAAGACTGTGGGAAGGCCTTTGGTAGTGGCTATCAACTTAGTGTTCATCAGAGATTTCATACTGGTGAGAAGCTTTATCAATGTAAGGAATACAGGAAGACCTTTACTCATGGCTCAAAACTTGTTCATAAGAGAACTCATAGTAATGATAAACCCTACAAATATAAAGAATGTGGGGAAGCCTTTCTGTGGACAACTTACTCAAATGAGAAAATTGATACCAATGAAACCTTATGATTGAAAGCTATAAAAGAACATTTTTGTGTGTGTGTACAAACAACATAAGGAGAACTCTTTTTTTTTTTTTGAGACGGAGTTTCACTCATGTTACCCAGGCTGGAGTGCAATCTCGGCTCACCACAACCTCTGCCTCCTGGGTTCAGGCAATTCTCCTGCCTCAGCCTCCTGAGTAGCTGGGATTACAGGCACGCGCCACCATGCCCAGCTAATGTTTTGTATTTTTAGTAGAGACGGGGTTTCACCATGTTGACCAGGATGGTCTCGATCTCTTGACCTCGTGATCCACCCGCCTCGGCCTCCCAAAGTGCTGGGATTACAGGCATGAGCCACCGCGCCCGGCCAGGAGAACTCTTATACTTGAGAAACGCTGTGAATGTAAGGGGTGTGCAAAAGCCATTCATTTCTGTTTACGGACAATTATCTTGCTATCCAGAAATCCATACTAGTGAGAAATATTTTAAATATAAGTAATATGAAAAGGCTTTAGACTTCTGTACAGTCTTATTGGATATCAATTTATACTGATGTAAAATCATTTAAATATAAGAAATGTGTGAAGATCTTTATTCAATATTAACACCAGGGAATTGGTATTTGTTAAACAGTTTAAATGGAAGGTATGCGGGAAGGACCTAAACTTAATTCAGTTCCTGCTGCACATCAGAGAATTCATACTGCTTTGTAATCCTATGCCCATAAGGAATTTGAGAAGGCTTATAGACATGGTAAATATCCTAGAGCACATCAGAGAATTCATCCAAATGAGAAATCACTTGAATTAGAATTATAAGAAGGCCTTTAGACAAATGCTACTCAAATCCAGAAACTGGTGCCAGTCACAAAATTGTCGTCTGTCAATCATGAGATAAATGTGGAAAGTGAGTAAATATTTGGAACTTTTATAGCAATTTGATGTTTCCATAACACTCTTATTCTGTTTTACAAAATTATCAGTCCACAAATGATTGGGAATTGAAAACAAAGCTTATTCTTTCCCGGAAATAATTTTAGAGACAAGACTCACACTTTTCAAGACATGAGACAAGTCACAATATAATTTACTTTAAATAAAAAATTCTTCACTTTCACCTCTCTGATTAGAATAGCAGAATATTTATACTATAGCAAGATTTGGCAAATGAGGGAATCGCCATTTTCTAATGCCTGTAACAGCATAAGGTAATTTATACCAGATATGTTAAATGTACAGAAGCCTTCCAACACTATTCAGTCTTTGTTAAACTTCAGTAAATTCATCCTAGAGAATAATTGTGTTAATGTAACAAATGCAGGAAAACCTTTATCCATGGCATATACCACTATCATCACCATTTCACCTCCATACTACCTGTAGGCTGGTGAGCAAAATGCTTATCTCCTCTGGACATAATGTTTAAAATGCTGATGGTAACTAATAATGCTATTATAGAGATTAGATGGATTTAGCATGCATTATATCCTTGGAAGAGTATCTGGTATGTAGCCTATGTGAAATACATATTAGCTATTGTTCATATTGTCTTTATTATTAGTATTACTACTGGTGAGTTCTTAGAAGAGGCACAACCATTTGGTGGAATGAATTCAGAAAAGCTTCCCATAACCACTCATCCGTTTGAATTTCAGATAGTTCATTCTGGATAAGATCTAGTAAGGATAAATAATTTGAGGGGATTTTTATTCAGAGTTTACTCCTTAAGCTGGGCTAAAAATTGACACTTGAAAAAATCCAGACTTTTGAAGAGCTTAGGAAAGCAAAACACCTTTTTTATATTATATTTTTTTATAGAATGTCACACATTGGTTTCTTTCCTCATGGTGAAATTTGATATGGGCTTCTCCTTCACATTTCTCATAACATGAAGTTGGAAATAGAGGCTTAAAAATATTTTACCAGGACACTTCACAGATGGTGTTGTGTACTTCATCTTGCAATACATCAGAAGAAGATGGTATCCATTTCCCCCACTATCACTAGTGCCAAGTTTGATCACTTAAGATGATAACTGGTGGAGCTCTCCATTATAAATATCCATTACATATTTTGTAGGATTGGTCAGCCTTGATCAATGATGTTTGGAAATGTGTGATCATATGGTATGTATTATACTTTTTTTTTTTTTTTAGTTAGGGTCTCTTTGTTGCCAAGGCTGGAGTGCAGTGGTGTAATTTGAGCTCGCTGCAACCTCCATCTCTCAGGTTCAAGTGATTTTTGTGCCTCAGCCTCCCAAGTAGCTGGGTACACAGGCATGCACCACCATACCTGGCTAGTTTTTGTATTTTTAGTAGAGATGGGGTTTTTACCATGTTATCCAGGCTGGTCTTGAACTCCTGGTCTTAAGCGATCTGCCTGCCTCAGCCTCCCAAAGTATTGGGATTACAGGTGTGAGCCACCACTCCTGGCTGTATTTTACTATTTGGAAATCACAGTCCATCTTAAAATTGATGGCTTCTTGTAACCACTTTCAGCCAGGTGGCTGTCATGACTTAGTGCTAGCATCAAAGCAGGTTAGTTATGATGAAATAGAGTGTGTGTATATACTCACACAGTTGGAAATCGACCTTTTAACAAATCATTTCTTTGTAAAAATAATGTCAGTTCCACCAGAACTAATGCATTGACAACTAAATGTCTGTGGTTCATTGTCATAAGACTATACCTGACCTGTCTATTTTGTGCACATAGGGCATTTGTAACAGCACTTTTCAGTCATTCACCATCTAGTGATCATCATTCCACACGATTGCACATTTTCTTTTTCAAAGGCTTAAAAATCAAGCCAACAATTACACTTTTAATAAGTGTAACACAAAGCAGAGTATTTTGGGAGTTTTAACAGGATATATTATTGGTAACTAATTATTATGCCACTCCCTCTGGGTGCCACATTTGCCTTTTAAGCAAGAAATGTAGACATGGTGCCTTATCCCAACATTTCTAAAATTATATCTCAGGAATCCCCAGTGCTTACTAGTACTTGAAAATGAAGCAGGATTTTATAGTTAAAGAAGCTTATAAAGTAGCACCTATTAAATCCCCTCTTAGGGAACAAGTAAAAGCACCTCACCAGCTTATCAAAAGACTAAAGAGAAGAGAGGAAAAACGACTAAAGAGTATTCTGGTGAAGAAAATGGTTGGACTTTGTTTAAACTGGTATATGGCAAACTTCACTGTGGAAATACTGATTCCCATGACCTAATATCTTTGCAAGTAGGTGAAATTGTTTTGGGAAACACTGCTATAACCAAAAGATAATTTCAGTCGCCATGTCTGGTTGTTAGCTATGGTGGAATGGCAGCATCATGCGCTCAGTGATGAATAAAAATCTTTGTTGTGGCCAAGTAGGGGTTGCCTCCTGAGTTTTATCAAATGCCATTTCACTCTCTCTTTCTGCACTTGTATAGTATTTAATTTGTTAATGTGATAATTTATACTGAGAGAGTCACTGACTTTCTCCCATTCCTGGATAATCCCAGTTTAGTCATGGTGTCCTTCAGATGTATTCCTTGATTTCATTTTGCTATTTTATTTAGGATTTTTGCATCTCATGTATGAGATTATATAAGTTTTCTTTTTTATTGTATTTTTATTTGTTTTGTTATTGCAATTACCTGTTCTTTAATATTGTATGATCCTATTAGGTTATTTTGTTTGACCCTCAATCACTTTTTTAGTGCCATCTGTCACTTTTTTTTTTTTTTTTTTGGTCTTTTAATTCCTACTTCAGACATAACAGATTTATTGAGTGTTCAGCACAGTTCCTTTAAGGAGCCTTCATAGCCATGTTGTACTAGCCAAGATCCACATAAAAGAAGCATCCTAACATGGCCCCTTATTGAACATTCTTTATTATGTGTTCTTGAGAATAATGTGTTGGAATTCAGAACTTCCATATTGGGCTATTATGGTCATACTTGTACATGTCTTTTGGAGTACACGTGTCCACATTTCTTTCTGTATATACTGGAAGTGGAATTGCTGGGGTGTGGTCATGGGATACACATCCATTCAATTTTTTAGTAAGTTTAAATTCTTCTGAACAGTTTTCCAAACAAATGAACCAACTTACACTCTCACCAGCAGTATATGAATGTTCTACTTTATCCACATCTTTGATAATACTTGACATCATCAGTTTAAAGAATATTTTTATTATTCTGGTAGGTAATATAGTGGTATCTGATTGTTGAAAATTACAGTTTGAAAATTATGGTTTAATTTTTCATTTTCTGATTGCTGCCTATTTGTATATTCTTGGAATTTCTCTTTGCTCCTTGCTCCTGGCATTGGATGCATTTGATGTGTCTATTTTCAGAGAGCATCTGTTCAGTTTGTAGGACAACAATTAACACCTAGCCCATGACTCTCTCTTTCTCTCTTTCTCTCTTTGTGTGTTTGTGTGTATATGTGTTTATTCCCCACCAGAAAGTGAGCTGGTTTTGATGACTGTGATGGAATCAGCTTTATCTCTGCATCTCCAGTTCCCAGAATGAATCATGACCCTTAGTTGTTTGATTCAGTTAGGATACACTCAGTAGAAATTAAAATACCACGCTGGCTAGAACAATGAGGAAGTATATTGATTCATATAATGTGCTTTCAGAGGGACAGCGGGCTCCAGATATTTTTGATTCATCAGCAAAGTTAAATCTTCAGAGGCTAAATTTCTTCCATTTTCCACTCTGCACTTCCCAGTGTTGGTTGGCACCATGATAGCTGGCAGGTTTCCAGATATTACAAACAGACATGACAACAACCACAGAAAATAATAAGGGAGACCATCTCCTGTGACAGGAGCAAGAAAACATTTCCCATTAGCCAGCAGTGTACATCTGCTTTTATTTTTTTTATTTTTATTATTATTATTATTTTTTGAAACGGAGTTTAGCTCTTGTTACCCAGGCTGGAGTGCAATGGCGCGATCTTGGCTCACCGCAACTTCTGCCTCCTGGGTTCAGGCAATTCTCCTGCCTCAGCCTCCTGAGTAGCTGGGATTACAGGCACTCGCCACCATGCCCAGCTGATTTTTTGTATTTTTAGTAGAGACGAGGTTTCACCATGTTGACCAGGATGGTCTCGATCTCTTGACCTCGTGATCTACCCGCCTCGGCCTCCCAAAGTGCTAGGATTACAGGCGTGAGCCACCAGGCCCGGCCAACATCTGCTTTTAGTTGCTAAAATGGGTCATATGTAATTTCTGAAATAATCACTGATATTACTTTAAATTATAGACTCTCAAAGGTTTTATTTAAATAAAAAATCAGACTTTTGGCCAGGTGTGGTGGCTCACACCTGTAATCCCAGCACTTTGGGATGCCAAGGCGGGTGGATCATGAGATCAGGAGTTCAAGACCAGCCTGGCCAACATGGTGAAACCCTGTCTGTACTAAAAATACACAGATTAGCTGGGCGTGGTGGTGACTCCCTGTAGTCCCAGCTACTTGGGAGGCTGAGGCAGGAGAATCGCTTGAAACCAGAAGGCAGAGGTTTCAGTGAGCCAACATCTCACCACCGCACTCCAGCCTGGGCAACAAGAGTGAA